ATCTTCCAGTGGACAGATGGTCAAACTGTTATTGTTCATTTCAGGGTGTGTTGACATTCAGTGATGTGACTGTGGACTTCTCACAGGAGGAGAGGGAGTGCCTAGATCCTGCTCAGAGGGCTTTGTAAAGAGAGACCTGAAGGTGGTGGAGAATTACAGCTCTCTCATTTCTGTTGGTGAGAATATTTTACAGAATGTCTTACTCATACTCAGAGCTCCTTGATGAACTACTGTGCATGTGTGTTAACTTTGTGTGAGTGAGTCTCACATCTCATAAAGTGAAATTGTCAGAGGAGAAAAGAACACTGTAATGAAATTTTGTCTGTTCTTATGTTTGTCCCTTGGAGTGGTTATGCTTTTTTCATTTTTATTCCATGATAAATTCAGAAACTTTTCTTTTTTTTTTTTTTTTGGTCTCTTTGAGACAAGGTGTCCCTGTAGCCTGTAGCACCACCTGGGTTTGAACTCTTTATATAGACCAGGCTGGCCTGAAACTTGCAGAGATCCTCCCGCCTCTGCCTCCTGAGTGCTGGGACTAAATGTATGTGCCACCACACCCAGCAAATTCACAAACTTTATAGCATATAATATTGTCTCTCCAATCATAAAATTCCATTTCTAACCTGAAATTTTGGCTGCGCTGTAATGAGAAATGGAACAGTAATTCTGCAAACTGAAGAAGCTCTGTAAATGTCAGTGTTCTGACAGAATATTCCAATTGGAGACTCACTGGTCGAATTCCCTGTTGTGTTCTCTCTTTATCTATTGAGCTCACTACTGTGTTAAAGATCCAGGCCCTTTCTAAAGACTCAAATCACGAGCCACCCAGCACAGGCATACAAAGTTGTTAAAGCACTTGGTGTCTTGTGCATTAAGCTGTGACCACCTTGGGTGCTGGGGGTGATCATGATGTCCTGAAACACACTCAAGAGACAGGTGGTCCTGGGGGACACAGCCATGTGCACTTTGTTAGTGTGGAAAAAGATTATCATCAATTATTAGAAATTACATTAAGACATGGAGTCACATCCATCAATTAAAATGCAAAATTAAAGAATACTTTCCCCTTTTTAATACTAATTTTAAAAATATTTCATTATTTTTATGTGTTGAGTGTATTACTTGCATGTGTATAAATGCACTCATGCTGTGCAATGTATACTGAGGTCAGAAGAGTGCATCATTTCCCCTGTAATCATACGTAGGTGGTTGTTAGCTCCAATGTGATGCTGGGAATCGAGCCCGGGCCCTCTGCAAGAGCAGGCATTGCTCTTAACCTCTGAACCATCTACCCAGCCCCTTAACATTAATTTTTGACAAAGAAGGACTGTATGTATTTTGTAGCTGCAATGTGATATTTTGTTCTCTATGTATATTTTTGAAACTGACTATTAATTTGACACAATTATGACTTTATGAATTTTAACATTAAAATGTATATACTGGAAGAAATGTCACAATGTAGTTTAAAGACCGGAACTTCCTTATAAGCCTGTTTATAATAAAGTGACTGCTCCTTTAGTATTGCCATGGAATTTCAAGGCTGTGAGGGTCTGAATTTCAACCAAAGTCCTCCCAATTCACCAGAACAGACACAGTTAATGTCTCAGTTAAGTACATGATAAGACAGAGTTAAAAGAAATTTCTATTCTACTTTCTTTGAAATGCAGTGCACAACCTATATGTACCTCAGAATATGAATTGAGCATGTAAATTTGGTACATTTACACATGGAGTTCTACGCAGTGGTAAAGGACAAGGAAATAAGGAATTTTCAGGTAAATGGATGGAACTAGAAATTGCTGGACTGAGTGAGGTAAAGCAGATGCCAAAAAGGAAGGCACAGGTGTTCTCTCTCCAGTGTGGCTCCTGCCACCAAACCCTGAATACATACTCAAAGGACATGAGTTCAGTGCGGCATCGAAATATGTGCGCTCCCTAATTATGGCAGCACTGTATGAAGACTAGGGAATCTGCTAAAATGCCCATTAACAAATGAAAGATTTACTGAAATGTGATATTTCTAAAGAATACGTCATAATTCCATCATAGGAAAGAGTGGCATCTTCTCATACTTGAGAGCAGGAATGATTCGCTGGGCACTGTATCAGGTAAAGAATGTTGAAACGTAGGCACTTAAAAGAAGAAGATAGATGACAGATGTTGAAGGTACATTAGCATTTGCAGTGAATGGGGAGAATGTGGGGTAAATAACAGACATAGCGTCATGGCTTCATGACTTAACTAAGTTCTATTGTTCTATGCCACCACAAGGTGAATAAATTCTCCAACTTACATTTTCTATCTTAAAATTATTAAAAAAGATCAATTTGTATACACTCAACATAGGAAAGGATAAAATTTTGCATGTGGATATATTAATAATAGACTAAATCAAATGACAATGTATATAACTAAGAAAATATCAGGGATAACTCATAAGTATGTAAAATATCATTTCATCACACAATGAAGATTGCGTTTTTCTTAAAAGTTATTTATTTCATGTGTAAGAATGTTGTTCTTGTGTGTATGTAAGTGCAGTTATGTGAGTGGGAGGAGGAGGCGGGAAGACAGTGTGGGAACCCCTGGAACAGGTGTTATGTACACTTGTTGGCACCATGTGGGTGCTGCAAACTGAGCTCAGGTTCTCTGCAAGAGCAGCCAGTATTACTGACCTCTGAGCCATCTCTCCAGCCCCAAGAGTAGACTTTTAAAACTCACAATGAACGAGTCCTGAACTTCAGCCTTTAAAAGGAAAGCTCTCCCTTGTGGCTCCGCCACAGATTCTGTCTGTGAAGCTCAGTAGAAGCATCAGTGCTGTTTCATTAACAGTCACAGGCAGAAGACAGTGAGGCTGGGGGTCAGCTGCCAGCGCTTCTGAAGGAAAGCTTAGTGTAGCCTGTATTCCAAAGGATGAAAACCATGTTACTCTGCTTTGTTTAGAATGTAGGAGGAATTCTTAATCTTGTTGGCAGAGTGGGCCACTGGAAGGCAGGAAAGCAGAAACTTCTCTCACGGTCTCCATGTTGAGCTTTTTCTTCCTGTGCATCTACTGTAACTGCAGACAGTGAGAACGGCCTGTTTTGTTTTCTGAGATGCTTCTTCCTCTTGCTATGTTGGCAAGTGAAGTGGATTTTCAGTGAACTGAAAGGAAGTTTCTCGAAACAAAGGGAAGACAGTTTATGTAAGATTGCCTGGAAAGGAAACTCACAGAAGAAGGAGAGAGATGGCTTCTTTTCAGGTGAGTTAATCCAAGGTCATGGACCATGTATACTTTCCTTCTCTAAATGTTTGTTCTTTTGAACTTGTAAGCTTTTCTGATCCAGAAACTAGCTATGAAGACCATGCTAGCCTGGATCTCCCAGAGATCCTCATGCCTCTTCCTCTGGAGTCCTGGGAGTAAGGCCTACACCACAATGCCTGGGCCACATTGACTCTTTTCACATGTGTCACCTATGTAGCATATCCAATTCTCCGTTTTATTTTCCAATGCTTATTTTTTCTAGACTAATCTAATGAATTCATGACCAACCATCTCAAACATGTTTCTGATGTGATAGGTGAAAAGTCATGTCAGTCTTCAGTTCCTATGAAGGGTGGACTTAGGTCCTCATATGCCACTGGATTGTTCTTTGAGCTGTACATAAAACTCATATTTTGGTTTTATTTTATTTGGATATTGTAGTAGTTTACTCATTTTAATCCCACCCACATCACAGGGCTGATGGAATGTGCTGCTGGGTTTGTTGACACCTGTATTCTTTTGTCTCCTGGGAGTTGGTTCCCTTGGTTGAGCTGCTCTGTACCAAATCCTAGACTGTCACATTTTTTTAATTTATTAGGAGTAAGTTTTCTTCTGGTAGTTCACAGAGTGCAGCACACGAATCATGACATTTACTGCAGGATCTGTCTTTTCATAGCTGGTAGTTTTCTTCCTTTCTCTGGAGAAAGAAACCTTTCTCGGTTGTTTGCTAAATCCCGAGTTTTCCATGTGAGATTCTGAAGTAGGCCTCTTCCTCTCCATTGGTATTTCTGCTTCACAGTCAATCACAGCAATGCCTCCATTACTGTTTTTTTTTGGGCCTCAGAAAAGAGTTCTATTTATTAAATGTTACACACAAACCGTTGCCTGATTTTGGAGGCCTTTGTGTATGCGGAATCAATATTGTTGTCATTGTTGGATCTTGTCTTCATGTTTTCATTACTCTTTGGTGAGCATAAAGGAAGAAATTACTATAAGAATATTTTTAGAATAGCTATGCACTGATGTTTCTGTAATTTCTACTTTACATGCAGGATATAGAATGTTCTTTACAAGGATTGTGTGTTCTTGCTGTGGAGGGAGAGCACAGAGTTCTTTATCTTCCACCATGTTCTACTCAGTGCTGTTGGAGAAAGTGTCTTTTGTACTGGGTCACTGGCCTTAATTGCAAAGTCTGTTAGGAAAGGGTTAAGTCAGGGCCAGCCACAAATCATGTTAAGGTAGAAATCTGTGTTTTGTCTAGGACTACAGTACATGGTTATAAGCATTCAATTTTATGAAGCAGACATATATCAGTGTGACTTTACATCAGATAAATATATACAACTGATCTTGTATGATACAACTATAGGAGAGAAACGGTATTTCTTTGTTGAGCACTTAATTTCTGTGCTGTGCTCCTTAACATCATAATCCTTACAAAACTTTGGAGTGTCTGATACTATTCTTTTTTGCACAAGTTAGAGAGTCGATTATAGATAGTTACACCTTTAAGAAATGTCCTTTTAAATAATTCAG